GGGGGGGTTTGGGGATTAGGAGGAGGGATTCAGCATCTCATCTATTCTCCGGTCACTAGGGGTCAGAGTGACCAAGGGGAGAGGGTCCTGAGAGAGACCTGACCTGGGTTCAATCCTGACTCTGCCACTTGCTCCCATGTGGGTTTAGGCAAGCTGCTTCACCTCCCTGAGCCTCAGTGTCTTCATCTATAAAATAATCCCTCTCTCTGAGGGCTATTCTAATAGATGTGAAAGTCCCCTGGAAACAGGAAACTACCCTGCAGCCTATAAAGTACCTTACCTGTGTGAGTGGTGGCTGTTTAGCCTCAGTCCTCCTGGGAACCCCAGGGGACAGTGCCAGGAGGCTGGGAGCATGAGGATCCCTCACTCACCTCCAGGCCTGTCCCCAGCTCAGCCTCCACCTCCCCCCGAGAGTCACCGGACATTCCTGGAGTCTGGCCTTCTGCACGGCAAGGGACGGCTTCAGTCTGCGGCACCTGTACAGGCGGATGGAGGGCCACAGTGGGCCAGTGCTGCTGGTGTTGAAGGACCAGGATGGGCAGGTGAGCTGCCCGGGGGGTGTTAAGGGAAAGGCTGTGTGTTGATGGGTCCACAGGGGTCTCTCTACTCTCCAGCTCTGCTCCAGGCTCCCCAGTTGCCCCTGTAGGATGAGCCTATATTACCAAGCCTGGAAAGTGGGTTTCCAGAGGACCACCTACATCCTTCCAGCTGCAAACTGCAAGCTCTTCTGCTTTCCAGATGTTTGGGGCCTTCTCCCCCTCAGCTTTTCGGCTCAGCAAAGGCTTCTATGGTACTGGCGAGACATTCCTCTTCTCCTTCTCCCCACAGCTGAAGGTGATGTTCCCAACCTCGCAGGGGGAATGGGGTCTATGGCAGGACGAAGATCCCAGTGGCCCCCAGCTCCATCCCCTGGTGTCCTTCCCTCTTTCCACAGAGGGAAGGCAGGAGGGCAGTGGCAGGCAGAGCACCCCCCCTTGGCCTGCCCATTTCACATACTCATTTAGGGCGTTCCCCCCCCAAGTGTATACACACTATAACAGCTGATAACTCACTTAATTTTCACTCCTCCTCAGGTTTAACTGATTTGAAATAATGGGTGTGAGGCAGCACGGGGGGATGGGCAGGCTTGGTGTTACCTCCAGTGAGAGAAGAGGGGACAGTTAATGGTAGAATCAGGGCCTAACTCCTGACCTGGGTTTTACCCTCCTCTCCCCAGCTTTGGAAGCAGGTAGCCTCAGAGGGCTCTGTTGCATTTCTAGAATAGAGGGGCTGTGGGGATGCAGACTGGAGAGCAAGAGGAGGTGAACGTCAGAGACACTGGCAAGAAATCTCAAGAGCTAGGAGCCCAGAGTCCTTCCTGCGGCTTAGTCAGGGTCTGGGTGCTCCATTCCCGTTACCATACTGCCACCCAGTGGTGTGGGGTCAAACTGCAGGGCAGTGACGAGCCTTTTCCTGTGGTCCCAGGTCTTCAAGTGGACAGGAAGTAACTCCTTCTTTGTGAAAGGAAACTTGGATTCACTGATGATGGGCAGTGGCAGGTGCGTGTCTCAGTCTTCCCTGTCTCAGGGTGGCCTGTGTTCTGGTCCCTTCTCCTGCCCAAAAATGCTGAGCTAGGCTGCCTCAGATACAATGGGGAGGCTGGTGGTTAGCTTTCAGGCCACTCCTGTTGAAACAGCCCCTCAACCCCGCTCGAAGTCAACACTGAGGGGGAAAGATGGCATGGACTCTCCCTCTAAGTGTTTACAGTTGATGACAGCTTCGTCTGCATTTACGTAACTTTGAGAAGAGCATTCCACATGGTTGGATGAGGCTAGCCTCAAACTGGCCTCTTAGCACCGTAATCTTAGGGAATGTAACTCACTGGAGTCTGCTCAGGAACCCCGCCTAAGAGTGAGTGAGTGAGTGTGTGTGTGTGTGTGTGTTGGGGGGTGGGAGGCGGAGTGGGTTAGGAAGAAAAGGTGAGTCTTGCCCCCAGTGTGACTGCAAATTCAGGCAGAATGAATCTTAAGGGCAAAGATGACATCACTGCTTGATCAGTACCAGGCATGACCTTGCTCTCCCGGCTGCCCAAAAAGCCTCCATAGAGAGGCAGCTTGACACAGGACACACCAGCCTCTTCTGACTTGCAGCAACTCACTTCCCAGCTGCAGCCTAGGTTTGCTGTCAGATGAAGGAATTGTAACGGATGCTCTCTGAAATGTTTTGGGCTCAGAGTCCATGCCTGTGAGATTCACTCCCTTGGTTAAGCTTTGACATCTTAAAAACATTGCAAGTGTTTGTTCTAAAACTGTGGCAAGTGTTGCACCACTGTATATATTTATTAAAATCACTGAACTGTAAAAAAAAAAATTTAAACTCTGTGGGAAACAATGTGGAGTCCCCAGCAATTCAGGATGAATCAGTCTAAGGGACGTTGAAACATAGGCTGCCATTATGGTGAGGACCTGAAAGGTCTCAACACCTAGGAGAGAGCCATGCCAAGACTTCCCTCTTCTCTCTAGCGGCCAGTTTGGGCTGTGGTTGGATGGAGACTTGTATCACGGGGGGAGCCACCCCTGTGCGACCTTCAACAATGAGGTGCTGGCCCGGCAGGAGCAGTTCTGCATCAAGGAGCTGGAGGCCTGGGTTCTGAGCTGATGGGCCCACAGGGAGCAGCTTCCTGAGACAACAGGTGCTCCAACCTGCTCATGGATGCCGTCCAGGCCTTCCTCACACGGGGGAGCCCATTCTGTCCGAATCACGGATGGCGAAGTGTGCTAGTGCTGACTGTGGCTCTGAGCCAGCCTCCTGGTGGCCTGGGGACCCAAGACAGGCATGGGGGCAGGAACTGAAGGAGTAAAAGAGTTACACCTCACCCGGGCAGTGCAGAGTCCCTCATGAACATGGTCGTTTAAAAAATTATGCAACCAATACATGTTTATTGTAGAAAAACAGAAAACATTTAAAAAATGAAAATTGCCTAGAATTCAACCACCACCCAAGACACTAACATTTTTACAGATAATTTTCCATGGAGATATATATGTGTATCTTACAAAAATGGGATTCTACTCTCTATGTTTTGGAAATTATTTTTAACTTAAAGAATATTGTCAAACTACAGACACCTGGACTCAACCAGTGACACTAATAAAGACTCTGGTAGTACCCTTCTTTTTCGAGAACAATGAGGGCTTTCTGTCTGCCACCAGTGTGCCAGGTGCCTGCAAATCTCTACTTTCAGGGGAAGATATAGAAGCAGCAAGAGAACACTATGCATATTTAACAAAGAGGTTAAAATGCTGTAGAGATGGGAACCTCGGGAGGTTAAAACATAGGAGGGTATGTTTTCAGGCACAACAGGAGCTCAGAAAACTAAGAAAAATCCATATCCCTTCCCATGCACATCCTTACCTCCTGCCAGAGGCAAAAATTCTTTATTATGCTATTGTTTGTCATAAATGAATGAGAAAAACTAAATAGTAGACGCCTGTTAAATGCCACCCTCTCTCTCACAGACCCAACATGGCACAGAGGTACCAAGAACTATCTGGGTAGATTCCTAGACCTGTTTCCTTTGCACAAAAGGATCAAAACTGGGCATACAGTGTGAGAGTCATTAAGGAAGACGCCTTTGGTTTCAAGGTGCAGATACATTATGAAGCTTTATTGCAGGTATTTCCCTTATCCAAATTAAACAGTCATTAAAACTTGTAGTTCTGTTTACATCAAGGTGATAACATTCAGTAACTTCAGAGGCTAAGCTGTTTACATCTCCATTTTTATACAATGAAGATGTTTCTTAAAATAAATCTGACCTTATAAATGATACATGGTTCTCATCATTAAAACAACTGTAAAAAGCATAAAGTGCCGCTGCCTTATATGCAATAGATTTAAGTTATTTCTCAGCACAATGACACAGTTGGGACTACGAAATTCCAAAGGAAACCACAATGATTTAAAGGTAGGAGTTGCAGACATAAAACAAAATGAGCAGAGAAACATTACATTCTTAACCGTGGGTCTGGGTACACGAAGTCTGAGGCCTAGAGTTCTCCCCACCAGATGTTTTAGAGGCACGTTGGCCAAAACAGGTATGACCCAGTGCCATGACTGACTTCACCTCTGCTTCTCTGAGCCCACCTGTGAACACATCCTCACCGCACAGCATCACAGGGGTAGTGAGAGAAGGGTTTTAGCTACTCTACTCTTCATTAGCTCTAAGACTTTGCTCTTTGTGAATTTCTGTACAACTGGAAAGGTGTGTTTGTGGGGGGGGGGGCACGGTGCTCAGCACAGGAGCACTGCTCAACCGCAGGGGTGTCCACTCCACTGCTGGAGGTAAGGAAATCCATTTACAAAGGGGAACCTGGAATTCACTGGGTAATCACTCATCTTAGCATGGGCAGCTCAGTCTTTGCTTTAAAACCGTAAAGTGCACTGAACCAGCACCAACAAAGTCCCAACTCTGGGCAGCCCCAAGGAGTGTTCCTGAGATGTAAGAGCAGGTTGGAGCCTCCTTTCCCAGGCTGGGCGGTGGTAAAGCCAAGACTTGGGCAGTGAGTATTCAGGAGAGAAACAAACTGCCTAGTCTGGAGCCACGACTGACCCAGAGAACAGCCTGGTTTGGGGGATCCCTCTGCCACTGAGGGCAGGGTCTCCTAAAAGGTATTTTATGTCCTACTTCAGAGGCCAGAGCCCTCAGATCTTTTCAATAATTTAATCAGGCTTCTCAACGGAGAGCTGGAGCCCACTCCTGGTTCTCATCTCCGTTTCCCCCAACTTGGCTAAAAGAGTGAGGAAAGGTGTCCTTCACTAATGCTTAGATCACTTAAGGCAAGCTATTCTCAAGGTGATACCTCCTTAGGGGCTAGGGTTTTGTGTTTGGTTTTTAACCATGGCTGTTCATGACAATCCCAATTTCAAATTCCAATGTGTACCCTTGTATCATTTCCAATTTTCTTTTTTAAAAAACAATCATATGCCCCAAAAGTTCAGAGTATATATATATATATAAAAGAATTGTTATTCTAAGAAAATAGACTACTAAAAGAGAAAGGCTTTAATTAATACTAAAAATAGGCAAGATAATATTCTTCATAGCATGTAGAGCAAGATTTGCACAATACCTTCTAGTTTCTTTGAATAAAAATTGTTTGGCTCAGCATAGGTATACATTCAAAATATAAAATAAAAAGCACTTGCTGTCACTAAATTTGTAGAACTATATGATCCAATTCCCTCAATTAATTAATTGTGCTGGGGAGAGGAGTTTTTGTAAAGAAATGACTGCAGGCATTCACACACAGTCATCCTGAAAAAGGCTTTTGGATGCTCTTCGGGTGTGAGTTTCAAACGGGTAATTCCACTCCACTTTTAGAGGTGTTATATGTGGGGCTATAACATCACCATCCTGTCAAGGAGAAAAATACCAGGATGAGCTAAAAGCCAGTTTTCATAATTTCAGTGACAGTCTCGGGTACACATACTTGTCTTATAGACTGACTGCTTCCAGACCTATTTAGCCTTGGGAAACCTCAAATTATACATACGCCCTGTGTTTGGGTCAAATCAGAAACACCAAGGTCCTAAGCAGTTAAGAGACTTGCATAGCAAAAGCCACCAGACCTATTCTTTTCAAAGATGGCCAGAAGCAGCACACTGCCCAGTGCTATGACCCTCCCCTTCGCACACCTTCACAGAATGCAGACTGCCCTGTTTTTCCAGGAGAAAGAGGGACTTCACTGGACCCCTGCTCCTCCCTTGCCTAGTCTCCTCTTTTTAAATTTTATTTATTGATTTTAGAGAGAGCAGAAAAGAGAGAGAGAGAAACATCAATTTGTTGTTCCACTTATTTATGCATTCATTGGCCACTTCTTGGATGTGCCCTGCCTGGGAATCTAACCTGCAACCTTGGCATATCGTGGAAAACGCTCTAACTGAGCTACCTAGTCAGGGGCTTTGCCTAGTTCCTTCTGCAATCCATGGCCCTGCTCTACAGGACGGCAAAAAATAGGAAGGTCAGGTATGTACCTACAGAACTAGAATTTTTCTCTGCAAAGCTATAACATTGGCCCATCAGCACAGACTCCACCCAAAATGAGGATGGCCTCAAAGTGAAGTGACACTATGACAAACAGTGTAAGAAGCAAGGTGTTTTAACAACTGACTCTATCCTAAAGTGATCTTCAATTTGTGAATAGATTCTTTTAGGTTATATGAGGACACAGGACCTTTGAGAGCCTTTGTTGCACTAGAAACACGGTGTTTGTGGTAGAGTACTGTGCTCATTTGCCTGTTCACTCTCATATACACTCATCACCTTTCCTCTGCTCTAGTCTGTACAACAGGAGCTGCTCCATTTCCCAGATCCAGACCTACTGACTTCCAGTTAGGTTTGGCCAGTGGGAGGCACCGGTGGGAGGCTGGAAAAGAGGAGGGCAGAGCAGCCTGGGCATTTCTCTCCCTAACCCCTTTGGCACAAGCAACAGTAACTGTGACTCTTCTGTGGTCTAGTTTCAGAAGGTTACACCAGCACCTGGACTCCCACCTTCTACCCTAGATGGTAGCAGCTTCCTACTGTTGTCTCAACCGTTCCACTTGCTTGTTTAGCTCTGCCAGAAATTTTGTATCTTGGCCCCATATTAAATTTCTTTTGGCCCAGCCAGGCGTGGCTCAGCGGTTGAGCATCAACCTAGGATCCAGGAGATTGAAGTTCGATTCCCAGTCAGGGCACATGCCGGGGTTACGGGCTCAATCCCCAGCAGGGGGCGTGCAGGAGACAGCCTATCAATGACAACTCTCATCATTGATGTTTCTATCTCTCTCTCCCTCTCCCTTCCTGTCTCTGAGATCAATAAAGATATATTTAAATAAATAAATTTCTTCTTTTGAATTACACTGGATCTGACTTGATACAGCTATAAAAAGCAGCCATTCAGCCCTAGCTGGTTTGGCTCAGTGGTCAGAGCCTCAGCCAGCAGCCTGAAGGATCCTGGGTTTGATTCTGGCCAAGGGCACGTACCTGGGTTGCAGGCTCAATCCCTGGCCCAGTCACGGTGTGTGTAGGAGGCAACCAATTGATGTGTCTCTCTCACATCGATGTTTCTCTCTCTCTACCTCTTCCACTCTCTCTGAAAAGCAATGGAAAAAATATCCTCAAGTGAGGATTAAAAAAAAAAAAAAGCAGCCGTTCAATTGCCATGATACTCATATTTGGAAGATCCATCTATCTCAAAGTCAACATTATTTGTCTTCAAATCCATCTCTATTTCTACCAAACGTCCTTATTTCTAACCATTCTAATTTCAACTCCAGTGAACTCTTTAAATGCAAACCTTAATATGTCATTCTCTTGCTTAAAACATGTCAATGGCTCCCATTGCTCATGGCTTAAAGGCCTATGCACACTGCTCTAGACCCTCTTCTAAATGCACAATGTTCTCTCTCATCGTCTGGTCCCCCGCACCCCCTTTAATCAGCTGAACTCCTTCTCATCCCTCCTTCAGGCCTCAGCTTCTAAATCCTTCTTTATTTTTATTTTTATTTTATTTATTTAGAAAGAGGCAGAGAGAGAGAGAGAAACGTTGATGTGAGAGAGGAACATCAATCAGTTGCCTCCCGTACCAGCCCTGACCAGGAATCGAACCCACCACCTTTTGGTGCACGGACGATGCTCCAACCAGCCGAGCCATGCTGGTCAGAGCCTAAATCCTTCTTCACACAAGCCTCTCCCAACCAACCAAAGCTGGCTTAAATGCTCCTCCTTCACGCTCCTCTAAGACTCTGTCCATGCTGCCCTCCCCCCAACCCCCTAAAGCACTTATCAGCTGCTGTAATTGTGATCTGTATGTCTGTCATCCGTAACTAGAGTGAGATCTGTGGGAACTATGTCTGCCTTAGGTTCTGTTCCATCCCTGGTACCTAACACAGGACTTAGGTTCTGTTCCATTCCTGGTACCTAACACAGGACCTGGCAAAAGTACTCATCCGATGAGTGAACGTATCTAAATTTAAGGTAGTTATTGCCACAATGGCTGAACGTTATAGCCTCTCGCCTCTCCACTCGGGTCTCTCCAAATTCCAGTCCATCTGGCGTTCGAGTTTTCTTCCTTAATCAGTGATTTAGTTTCCTTAGGTGCTACAGTACCGAAGACAGAAGACATTCTTTCTTATTCCCATGGGTCTCACTCTAGTTGGAGATGACCAACACAGAAGTAAATAATAATTACAGCATCATGGTAAGCCTTGAATACTCTCCATGATTCCCTCCCTGCTGTACATGAGAAAAAAATCTTCTTTCTGAGCTGATTGTCCAAGGTGCTCCATAACCTAGTCCACTCTTTCCACTTAACTTCTCACAACTCCCCTGCTCCTGTCAGCAGGTCTCCTCATGGCCCTCCAAGACATACTCAGCTTGTCCACTTTCATGCCTCTGTGATGCTCTCATTGCCAAATATGTCCACCTTTCTCTGCTACTTGCCCAAACACAATTGGCCTTCTGTATTGAGTAGAATCCTCCCTCCTTCAGAAGGCTTTTTTGTCTACTCTCCCAACTCTGAATCCTGATAGACTCCCCGGATGACTCCATCTGGCACTTTATAAAGAACTGATATACTGAGCTCCTCTCCCATGCCTGACCTTTCATTTTTGTTTCCTTTAGCATCCAACATATGGGGCAAGAGAGTGTGTATGTGTGTGTGTGTATGTGTGTGTGTGTGTGTGTGTGGCAGCTATGGTGTTGTGAGAGGGAGTCCTAGACTAGGAAGTAGAATTCTGTTTCCCACCTGCCTGCTAATTATATTCATTCAGTCAACAAATATATATTGGTCACTTTCTCTGTGCCAGCAGCCTACTGTGTGTATATCAATGAATAATTTTTTATTTATTTAAAAAAAAATTTTTTTTTTAATTTTTATTTTTTTAATATATCTTTATTGATTTCAGAGAGAGGAAAGGAGAGGGAGAGAGAGAGAGAGAAACATCAATGATGAGAGAGTCATTGATCGAGCCCACAACCCGGGCATGTGCCCTGACCGGGAATCGAACCCTGATCGCCTGGATCCTAGGTCGATGCTCAACCGCTGAGCCATGCCCGGCTGGGCTCAATGAATAATTTTAACAACATTCTCTACAGGATTGGCAACCATGGCTTGGTTCCACTCCCTCTCCACTCTCTTATTCTAGAGAATTTAAATTGTTTACTAGTTTGGGACCACTGAGTTTCAAATAAGAATTTAGAAAACTTATTATCAGTTGTATGTGGACTTAAGCAAGTTAACTACTGTGTTTGTAACCCTCTCTGAAAGATGAGGACACTATGACTCACTCCCAGGGTCACTAAAAGGACTGGATGAAACAATTGGTGAGAACATTACAAAGTACTAATAACACACTCACCATTTTAAACATTTATTATTAAGATAATAATGATAGCCCGGCTGGGTGTGGCACAGCGGTTGAGCATCGACCTAGGATCCAGGAAATCGAGGTTCAATTCCTGGTCAGGGCACATGCCCAGGTTGCAGACTCGATCCCCAGTGGGGCCCATGCAGGAGGCAGCCAATCAGTGATGACTCTCATCATTGATGTTTCTATCTCTCTCTCTCCCTCTCCCCTCCTCTCTCTGAAATCAATAAAGATATATTTTTTTAAAAAGATAATAATGATAAACAGAGTACTCATAACTGGTGTAGGAAGAAAACCCTGGTTGACATAGATTCAGACATTTTAAAAGAAAAGCTTAAAGTGGAAAATCTTTTTTTTCAAAACCATAACCAAATTACTATAATTTAAATGAGAACTTTTCAGAGGGACATAGGATCTCTTTTGGTCTTTACTTAAATATGAAAAATTGTGCAAAGTAATGATTAATAAGCCACCTACCTGCGGCTTGGTGAAATTTCTGATTTTGCACCAATTAACAAAATGTTGTTGTGCAGCATACATACTCTGATCATCCGTCTTCTTACAATATACTCGAATTAGCTGTTCTTCAAATTTCTTTGGCAAAAGCTGTGAAGCCTTTTCAAAGAAGAAAAGATTTCAGTCACCTTAAATTCACCTTGAAGAGAGATCAGCTGTTCCTAACCTCCATTCTTGATGTTACAGTAAAAGAACCACATTGCTTTGCTACATTATCCTAATTATAATCCAAAGAAAAGAACTAATGATAGTTGTCATATTAAAAAAATGCCCTACAATTATCTGTCAATTTATGAAAAAACTAAAGGTTTGTATTATATACAGTGGTGCCTCGGTTTTTTAATGTGATCCGTTCCGGAAGACTGTTCGAGGTCTGAAACGTTCGAAAACCAAGGGATCCACAGCCACCAGCTGGGCCTCAGGATCCTGCCCTCAGCGGAAGCCATGCGGCATGTTGGACTTCCGAGGCGTGTTCGAAAACCGAAGCACTTCCTTCCGGGTTTACAGCGTTTGTAAACTGAAATGTTCGTCAATAGAGATGTTCGAAAACTGAGGCACCACTGTAATTGTATCTAGACTACAGACTCTCATACATGATAGGCAAATAAGCACATTTAACCTACATGACTTCAATCATACTACACTCCCTGACCAGCAGATTTATAACCTAGCCTTTAAACTAAAAACAGTGCTTTTACCTAGGTTCAGGAAACAGGAAAAACTGGCTGTTAAGCCCTAGCTTGGCTCAGTGGTTAGAGCATCAGCCTGCACAATGAAGGCTCTCGGGTTTGATTCCCAAAGGCACATAATTGGGTTGCACATTTGATCCCTGCCACATGTAGGAGACAACCAATCAATGTGTCTCTCTTACATCGATGTTTCTCTCTTTCTTCCCCCTTTCCTCCTTCCCTTCTACTCTCTCTAAAAAGCAATGGAAAAAATATCCTTGGTGAGGATTAAAAACAGAAAACAAAACAAAACAAAACCTGGCTGTTAAGATGGTCTAGTTTACGTAAAATCAGGTACACCTTTAATTTTAAAGATAAGCTTATTCTATTTTTTTTTTTTTACTGTACAAATTGACTTTAGGACCTAGCCTGCATATAAAATGCAAATTTACTATAAAGATTTGCCAAATGCCACTACAGTATGTGTTTTTTAACCTAAGTAGTTACCTGTTCTTTACTAATCCTGATGGCTTTGTTGAGGTCAGCCTTACAATAGAAGCGAACATTATCAATAGGATTCTTGTCTTCCATTCCATAATCCATGTTGATAACCTAAATAAAAGCAAGAAATAAATGGTCACTTACATATTTAATAACAATGAGAACTGATTCAGGGTTGTAGGGACATCACAAGAAATGTAGCAGAGCTCTCTGAAGGTTCAGAAGAGCACTGGTAAACTGGCTCATAGAGGAATAAAAATAGCACATGACCTATAGGGATCTGGTCTTGAAATCTGGGTGGGGGTGGGGTATTTGTGCTTTTAACATAAGTAGGGTATAAAGTCAATACCTATTATATGAAGACACTGTGGTAGGTAATAGAGATACAATAAAGAAAGTTGATATGATCACAGTCCCACCCCCTGCAGACCATGTGGCCTAGACTGAGGTTCAACAAATAATTATCAAAGTAATTATATAACTTCAATTGTTATAAGAGCTACCAAGGAAAAGCAAATGGTGTCATGAAAGTTTGTAACTGGGGAATAACTAGTGAATAACTAAGCGAACAGGAATTAACCAGGCCTAGGTAGGAAAGACAAGAGTGCGAGGCAGAAAAAACAGCTCCAGGGTAGAGGACTGAAACTATCTGCTGGGTTTAGTAACATCTGCTGGGTGATCTTGTGAGAGTAATTCTAGTATAATGATGGAAAAGAAAAAAAGGTTTGCAAGTAAATAAAAAATGAAAGAGAGACAACTCTTTAGAAGTTAGGCTTCCAGTCAAGATGGCAGAGTAGGTAAACACTGTACTCGCCTCCTCCCACAACTTCAAAATTACAACTAAATTACAGAACCGCTACCATTGAGAACCACCTGAAGTCTAGCTGAACAGAAGTCCTATACCTAAGAATATATAGAAGCAAGACTGCCTTTTTAAAAAATTTAAAAAATAAAAATAATAAAGAAGACACAAGAGAGAGAAGTAAGGTACCTAGGAGAAAAAAAGTAAGGGGAGACAACAGGATCGTGGTGCCTGTTATTTTCTTAAGATGAAAGTCTGGCCCTAGCCATTTCTGCTCAGTGGTTAGAATGTCAGCCCATAGACCAAAGAGTCCCAGGTTCGGTTCTGGCCAAGGGCATGTACCTTAGTTGCAGGCTTGATCCCTGGCCCTGGTTGGGGCGCAGGTGGGAGGCAACCAATCGATGTGTCTCTGTCACATTGATGTTTTTTTTCTCTCTCTCTCCCTCTTCCCTCCCCTCCACTCTCTTTAAAAAATCAATGGAAAAAATATCCTCAAGTGAGGATTAAAAAAATTAGCTATGAAAAAAGCTCCTGGATTTATTGAATTTCTAGTCCCAACTGCGGCTGCCTTGGCAGGGCCAGACCAAATGATCTCAAGGGCCGTATACAGTTCATAGGCCGGATGTTCCCCACCCCTGCTCTAAACCATGGCAAAATCTTCAACAAGAGGGCAGCAGATGGTTTGAGGATGTCCGTCTCAGAGGAACACGGATCTTGCATAGGGTCTTGACGTGGTAGGTACTAGGGAACACGAGGACTGATGAACAAGGTCTCCTGACCCTGAGGAATGTGCTTTTCCTGTACTAGCTGCAGGGAAACCAGGTTCTCAGGATACACCCAGGCTGCAACCAAGGCAAAGAGCTATTCAGTCAAGAGGCTGAGGCTAGCCCTGGCTGGTGTGGCTCAGTTGGTTGAGCGTCATCCTATGCACTGAAAGGTCGTCAGTTTGACTCCTGGTCAGGGCACATACCTAGGTTGTGGGTTCGATCCCCGGTTGAGGTGTGTGTAGGAGGCAAGGGTAGATACACAAGAGTGAGGAAAACATTCTGGAGAGTGAAGTCTTTCAGAATCTCAGGAAGTCAGGATGTGAGATCTCTTTATTCTAGTGGAACCTCATCTAATGAAACAGGAAACTGCAGCCTGATCTGCAAATCTGAGGCACTTCAACATGCAGCCAAGTGAATAGAGAGTGGGTCCAAGTGCAATTTCACTCATCATATCCCTTGGTAAAGGATGGTTATGGAGAGATCACCCTTCACTCAAAGATGCATCAAAAAGAAAATAACAAATGAGAGCCTTATAAAAAAATACATAGGGAACAGAGTCCCGAGATTTCAAAGGAGTAGAACTCTGAAGAGAATTTCCTATAAGAAACAGAAGAAAATATGAATGAGCCATTTGGCATTCTCATTAGGATGCAAGAAGACACTACAGCCTCTATGAAAATAGGAGTCAAAGAGTCTTAGCTTTTTCCTTTGTGTGTGCAGTTTTTAAAATTAACTGGCATGTGTTATTTTCATGATCAAGAAAACATTCAAAAATCAACATATACAATATTCTACTAATCACCTGACCACAATTACATGAAAAATACTGACAACAGCCCTAGCTGGTTTGCTCAGTGGTTAGAGCATTGGCCTGCAGACTGAAGGGTCCGGGATTTGATTCTGGCCAAGGGCACGAACCTCGGTTGCAGGCTATGGCCCCCAGGCTGCGTGCAGGAGGCAACCAATTGATCTCTCTCTCTCACACTGATGTTTCTACCTCCCTCTCCCTCTCTCTCCCCCTCCCTCCCTCCCTCCCTCGCTCCCTCCCTCTCTCTCTGAAAAGCAGTGGAAAAAATATCCTCGGATAAGAATAAAAAAAAATACAGAAAACAAACAAAATGTTGACAACATGTCAAAGAAAACTTAAAAACTGGTTAATGTTGGTTCTCTCTCTGGGATCACAGGTGATTCTCCTCTTTCCTTCTATCTTTCTGTATTCTCCAAATTTTCTATAATGAACATGTACTGCTTTATAATGGGGGGAGGCTTTCCTCTTCTTTTTTATGGTGCCTATTTTAGTTTTATTTAAGACATCCCGTTTCCCCTTTACAATGCAGTGTTTATAAAGGGCACTGTTCCCTTTCCCTGTGCATGTAGTCCATATTCAAGTATCAAGAACACCCTGTTATCTACTATACAGCACCTCAACTTTTAAAACTGTCATGGAATTTGCTACAAATGTGGGTCCTTCCATATTTCGTGTGGAACAATGCTAAACCTATACTCAAGATTGGCTTGATCAACCTTTTCAATGGTGGGCTCTGAGGAGGCATCTCCAGATGGAGGGGCCCCACCACAGGGAAGCCCCGGGCGTTCCTTCTGGTGGGCCTCCTGCACTCTGGTACAGCTTGGTAATGATGGGGTTGTAGACCTTTTCCAACTCTTTCTGCTGATGTTCAAATTCTTCCATTTCTACAGTTTGATTCTTACCATCCAGTTGATTATTTCATTGCACTTGTCAAGAATCTTCTGTTTGTCCTCACCATTGATCGTCTTGAAATTTTTCATCTTCAACAGTTGCTTTCATGTTGAATGGATAGGATTCAAGTGAATTCTTGGAAGACATGGTCTCCTGCTGCTTCTCACCTCCAGCTCTGTACTTCAGCTTCCTGGATCATGTGCTCAATGTCCTCCTTGCTCAGATGACCCTTGTTGTTGGTGATGGTGACCCTGTCCTCTTTTCCTGTGCTCTTATCCACAGCAGAGTCACCGACGCCAATGACATCAGTATCAAAAGTGACTTCAATCTGAGGAACAGGTATGCCTGGAAGTTCAAACTTGCCAGGCAGGTTGTTATCCTTGGTCATGGCACGCTCACCTTCATAAACCTGAACGAGCACACCAGGCTGGTTGTCAGAGTAGGTAATGAAGGTCTGTGTCTGTGGGTAGGAATGGTGGTATTGTGCTTGATGAAGACAGTCATGACTCCACCAGTAGCCTCAATGCCAAGGGAAAGAGGAATGACATCCAACAGCAGCAAATCTTGAACATTTTCAGATTTGTCTCCAGAGAGGATGGCTGCCTGGACAGCTGCACCATAAGCAACAGCCTCGTCAAGGTTGATGTTCTTATTCAACTCTGTTCCACTGAAGAAGTCCTGCAGGAGTTTCTGAATCTTGGGGATATGGGCAGAACCACCCACCAGGACAATATCATGGATCTGGGACTGTCAAGATTGGCATCCCAAAGGGCTTTCTCTACAGGATCCAGGGTGCCACAGAAAAGGTCAGCATTCAAGTCTTCAAATTGGGCATGTGTGATAGAGATATAGAAGCTGATTCCTTCATAGAGCGAATCAATCTCAATACTGGCCTGGGTGCTTAGCACTTTCATAAGCAGTATAAAGGCGACGGACAGCCCCCTTGTTTTCACTGATGTCCTTCTTGTGCTCGCTCTTGAATTCTGCAATGAAGTGGTTGACCATTCAGTTGTAAAAGTCTTTTCCACCTAAGTGGGTGCCCCAGCTGTAGATTTGACCTCAAAGATTCCATATTCAATTGTGAGAACTGACACATCGAAAGTGCCACCTCCCAATTTAAAGATCAGCACAGCCCGGCCAGGCACGGCTCAGCGGTTGAGCATCGACTTAGGATCCAGGAGATCGGAGTTCGATTCCCGGTAAGGGCACATGCCCGGGTTGCGCGCTAGGCAGCCAATCAATGACTCTCTCATCATTGATGTTTCTATCTCTCTCTCTCCCTCCTTTCCTCTCTCTGAAATCAATAAAGATATGTTTTTTTTAAAAAAAAGATCAGCACATTTCTTTCAGCTCCAACCTGTCTAAGCTGTAAGCAATAGCATCAGCAGTTGGCTCACTGATGATTCTAAGTACATTGAGACCAGCAATAGTTCCAGCATCGTTGGTAGCCTGACTCTGAGAGTCACTGAAGTAAGCAGGTACTATGACAAAAGCATTGGTAACAGTCTTCCCAAGGTAGGCTTCTGTGATTTCCTTCATTTTTGTCAAAACCATAAACGACATCTCTTCTGGATAGAAACTTTTTGGCTCCCCCTTGTATTCTACTTGGACCTTGGGCCTGCCAGCATCATTCTCCATCATGGAGGGCCAATGATTCATATCAGATTAGACAACAGCACCATCAAATCATCATCCAATCAAGCACTTGGCATCAAAACCCGTGTTGGTAGGATTCATTGCAACTTGATTCTGTGTAGCATCACCGATCAATTGTTTGGTATCAGTAAAAGTGACATAACTTGGGGTGATCATTGGCAATTATTTCCAATATTCCATGCTGGAAGACACCCACAGAAGAGTACATGGTGCCAAGATCAATACCAACTGCAGATCACTTAGACATGGTTGCCTGAGTGTACACACAGCTTGCAAAGAAAGACCTGATTGGAACAGCTGCCCCTGCGTTCAATGGGGGGGAGGGGGACTTTATTCTTTTAAAAAGTTCTTTAGTTAGTATATTATCAGGTGAACTACTTACATCCACTATGAAATCTTCAGCCTTCAGTTCAACTTGCAGAGGTGGTATATCAGGTTTGGCATCGGCAATCTCTTTTGAAAACTTTCCACAGTCTTCCTAGAAAAGACAAGACTCGCAGGTTAGAATTACAGCTCTTCACAATTAAGTGTTTGTGCCATCTGAAAATGGCACTTCAGCTCCATGTTACCAGTGACTAGTGAATTGGACAGCATGGCTCTCTTCTTTCCTTCTTAATTTTCCCATCTCTAACTAAACAGAAAATGTATTACAAAATAGTGCTATGCAAGGACCCCTTATCTACTAATTATCTACTAATTTGGATCATGCAGGAAACATGGGAAATGTGCTTATACCATTCTTTAATCAGATCATAATAGAGCAATTTTCATAACAGGATTTTCCTATTTTTAAAAATGTGGCATTAACCTATTAGTAAAACAAGAGGAACCAAGGAAGTATTAAAAGCAGGGTGTGGTTATCAGTATGGCTTGTATTACTTGCTTTCTGGTGAAGATTAAATCTTCAACAAGCAGGAGAGGAAAATAGATAAACTAAAAAAGATAGGAATGCACCACCTGGGAAAAACTGATAAACTGTGAAAGAAGTTAAGTAGTAGCAGGTCCTTGAAGTTTCAATGAAGCTCATGCAGACACCTATTTTGAGGGTCCCTTTCACTTCTAGGATGAGAGCGCAAATTAGACTTGGCTTTGAATCCTGACTCACTCACTACCTGTGCTTCCACAGGCCAAGTTACTTAATCTCTTCCCAAGCCTCAGTTTCTTTATCTGCAGAATAGACCTAAGAACACTGTATTGATGTAAATATGATTAAATGAGAATATGACCTTTTACTAACGGGAAGATGCTTGACAACTCAGCTTACCTTTTAAAAAAAAATGTATTGCCCAGCAGGGCGTGGCTCAGCGGTTGAGCATCGACCTGGGATCCAGGCGATCGGGATTTGGTTCCCGGTTGGGGCACATGCCTGGGTTGAGGGCTTGATCAATGACTCTCTCATCATTGATGTTTCTCTCTCTCTCCCTTTCCCTTCCTCTCTCTGAAAGTCATTACATTTTTTAAAATTTTTTATTTATTTATTTATTTTAAATATATCTTTATTGATTTCAGAGAAAGGCAAGGAGAGGGAGAGAGAGAGATAGAAACATCAATGATGAGAGAGACGTCACTGATTGGCTACCTCCTGCATGCCCCCTACTGGGGATGGAGCCACAACCCGGGCACAACCCTGGAATTGACCTGAGATCTCCTGGATCATAGGTCGATGCTCATCTGCTGAGCCACGCCAGCCAGGATCAACTTACCTTTTTAATTCTCTCTTTGTCTGGCTGAGTCTGACCCACGTACTTGTATAGATTACGGCATTCAATTTTTTTTAAAATCTCTCGTGCGGCATCCAATCTGCGATCAGTAGAGTGTAAAATCTCCAGAAAAATGTTATCTGCCAATTTGATGAAATTTCAGTTACATTAAAATGAAAAACACACAAGATTTATAAAGACTCACACTTTGCTGTACCTCTGAAGTGATTTCAAGCAGTTTATAACTATAAGTACACTATGATTATAACAATGTGAAAAAAATTTTTTTAAAGCCTGAAGTGAAAAACCTTTGAAAAACATTCCAGTCAGTGTCTTAGATTTGCTTCCAGGTAATCTAGTGAGCGGGAAAGGGTGGACGTGAAACAAGACTGCACTGAAGTTGATGATTTGAGGCTGGATTATGGGTACATAGGGGTATGTTAATTTATTGCTATGTTTTGTTTTGTTTAAAAAGAATGATACTTAAAGAATTACAAAATTATGTCTGAGATCTGCTTCAAAATGTCCCAGTGTTTGACAGGAGTCAAGGGATGAAGCAAAATTGTATGCGTTGATAACTGTTAAAGCTAAGTGATGTAAATATCTTTAATAAAATGTTTTTTAAAGTTCTATTCCATGATGATAGTAGAAGGTAGTTTCTTTTTCCTCTTTTTATTTCAAAACAAAATAGCTGGGATTCTGGTCGAGAGGGCGGTGTAGGTAAATGTGGCACTCGCAACCTCCCACAACCACATCAAAGCTACAACTAAACCACAGAACCACCATCATTCAGAACCATCTGAAATCTGGCTGAATGGAAGTCCTACAACTAGAGGACTAAAGCAGCAGCCACACTGGGACTGGTTGGAGAGGCGGAGGTGTGGAACGGGCTCTTCTGACATCCACGTGTGGCATGTTTTTAATCAGGAGGGATATCTCAGCTGTGGAGGTCCTGTGAGGAGCACGGAATCCCAGCCCCACACCAGACCCCTCAGCCCAGGGTTCCAGTGCTGGGAAGTGAAGTCCCTATAACTTCAGGCTGCAAAAACCAGAGGGGAGGGGATTGTGGTTGAGTGACATGGAGGCTGCTGGCGTCCCAGGCAGATCCACTTAAAGGGCCAGGGAAGGGACTTACTTGATTCACTCCCTCTGAGCTCCAGTGTTGGGGCAGCAGCTTGAATGGAACTAGAGATATATGGGGAGGAACTAAATTGTCTGGCATCAGGGCAAGAACTGAGGGGGCAGCTTTCTCTCAGACAGAAGTGCTGGCAGAGGTCTTTGTTCCTTTGCGGAGACTTTCCCGAAACAGTGTCAATAAGCAGTCACCACACCTGAGTCTCCGTCAACCTGGCTCACATTGTTCCCCTGCCCTGGTAACTCCCTGAGACCAGACCCCAACCCATCAAATTTGAAGCCTCACTCAAGCTGTTTGCAGTCACTTTTCCATATGAATGGCCTGTCCTAGCTCAGGCTTCACTCTCACCTAAAAACTTTCAAACAAGTGGCAGCTGACTTCGGCGTGCTCCCATACCTTTTAATTAGGGTCCCCAGATCTGACACTAGCAGCAGCCTGCCTTGGTTCACAGCTTGGCCTCCCCTGGGCACCTTCAAGGCCAACATAAGTAGCAGCCATCTACAGATTGCTCTGTAGCTCTGTCCTGTTGTAGTTAGGTGAGCCTTGACTGCTGTTGGTGTCTCTGGGAGGGACTGACCCCCAGACTAGTTGGCTGTGTGGACCAGCTGGAGTACAGCGGAAGAGCTGCCGTGCAGGAGCAGGAATTGTTTCAGTGGGGCTTTGGTGCTTGCCGAGTCCATCTCTTAAGTGTGTTACTTGTGGAGGTGGTAGGGTTGTAATCTGGCATGGTCTGAAGCTGACCACCAGGTGCACTGGCTCTAGTGCCTCCCGGAAGGTACAAAGTCAGCTACTGCCTGTGCCTGGCCTGGGGCCACCTGGCTTATATTTTGTATGCCCCCCCCGGCCCCCGCCTCACCCTGGGCCATTCCGTTTTCCTAGTAATTTGTTTTTATATTATTTTTACAAAAGTATTAATCTGCAAGGGGTTGGAAATGAATGTTAGTTCTTCAAAGACAGTTTGAGAGAAACTGGTTTAGGTTTCGCTCTGGCAGTGTGCTGCAGACAGGATCGAGCAGTGATGGAGCAGCAGTAGCACCCCAGGCAGGAAGCTAATGCAGAGCCAATGCACAGCTAAGATCCTGGCTGTGTGTCTTAGGCTGCTCAGCTTCTGTTGTTTCTGCTCATTTTCAGAGCCTCCAAGCCATCCCACTGATTCTATAAGCTGTATGACTGCTATCTCATTTTATTTTTAAACAGAGTCGGTTTCATGATGTGCAACTCAGAGCTCTGGTTGACATATACTTTTTGATCTGCTTCTTTTGCTTTATTAATCTTTATTTTTCAGTCTACACTTTACCACATTGAAGAACCAGCTGTGACACCTTCACCTCTCTTCCTTCCCACCCTAAGCTGCAGATTTTGTTTCTGTTAAGTGTGCAGAAATGTCCCTGGCATACTGTGTTTTGCAACAAAAATAATGTTAAAAGGGTGAATTTGTTTTTTGGTATTAGTCTGATATCAGTCCAGCTATATTATAAATTAAATAATCGTAAATACTAAGTACTTATGTGCCAGGTACCATACAACATGCTATGCATCATTTAAGCATCACAACAAAAGTATATGTTAGGTATTATTACTCCTATTTTATAGATGAGAAAAGTATGGTTCAGAGAAGTTAAATAACTTTATCAAGGTTATCTTGTTAGTACAAAGCAGAGATAAAACACAAATCCAAAAGTATAAAATCACTTGAGAAGCTAAATCTATTGGAATGTTTGAAAAATAACCCATTTGCAATCCAGGGACAGCTTATACTTTATCTGAGATGGACTATCTATGTTACCTTCTAGTTCTTACCTGTTAGCTTAGTGAAGGCTTCCATGTCATCAATTGCTGTAGAAATGCGACATTTTTTTCCTTCAGAACCTGTAATCTCTATGTAGGGGTCTGCTTCAAGGAAAGCATCTGTAATCCTAAAGATCATTTAATAAAAATGTATGCTTATGAGAAAATTTAAATATGTACTTTAGGCCTTGCTCAAAGTTAAGAAAATCTTTCTACTTTAGGGAAATGAAATCTTGAGACATGATGTTCTAAAGACAGCTGTTATTCAATCATACTAAATTAGTGCATTGTGATTTGTGGGCTAATGTGTTTACTGTGTTCCAGGCATTATGGCTGGGCTTTAGATCCACTGTCTTATTTAATCTTTCTAACAGTAACATAGATAAGTGTAATGAGCCTTAATTTTACAGATGCAGAACTTACGTAAATTTTTATTTTACCAAGTTAGGAAGAAGCAGTACCAGGCTTTGAACCTCGATCTCTTTGACTCTCTAAATTAAATACAAACTAACTCCTGGCCTATGTGGCTCAGTTGGTTGGAGCGTTGTCCCGTGCACCAAAGGGTCACGGGCTTGATTCCTGGGTCAGGGCACATACCCAGGTTACAGGTTCAATCCCCAGTTGGGGCATGGGAGGCAACCAATCAATGTATCTCATGTTGATGTTTCTCTCTCTCTCTCTCTCTCTCTCAAATCAATAATAATAAGAAAAATTTTTTTTAATGTATTTAAAGAAAACTAACAAAAACAACAAAAATCTACACCAAAGCAACAACCATACAAGTAGGATAATGTATTCTGACTAGTCTGCTCATGACAAAAGATGGGGGAAAAATAGGAAAAGAAAATAAATTTTCTCAACACAAACATGAACATGAAAGGCTTATAATAAATCAATTTAAAAGCATTTTAGACATGGTGTTAACTGGAATCACACCCAACTTTTTCTTTTTTTTAGATATATCTTTATTGATTTCAGAGAGAGAGAGGGGAGGGGGAGGGAGAGAGAGAGAGAAAGAGAGAGAGAGAAACATCAATGATGAGAGAGTCATTGATCGGCTGTCTCCAGCATGCCCCCTACTGGGGATTGAGCCCACACCTGGGCATGTGCCCTGACCGGGAATCAAACTGCAATTTCTTGGATCCTAGGTCGATGCTCAACTGCTGAGCCACCCCCAGCTGGGCACACAGCCAACTTTTGATAACTCCTCATGGGGTCTTCTGGTCCCTAGAAACTAGGCTTTACTTTTCTGCGATGGATCAGGGAGAAGAGGTGAAATTCCTGTTGGTTTTACTATTTGCTACCAATTTTGATAAATAATTGACAGGGTAAGGACAGACATTAATCTTAATTCTTAAAATTAATGTTTGTTATTAATTTCAGAATGTCAATTATCCACGTCCCATCTCTCACCTTGACGACTGATATCTGGTACATAAGCGATGGCCTGTGCAGAGGTCCTACGCCATTCCAGCACTAATTCTTCATGTTTAGCCTAAGCCAGCTTTTCTGCCCTTCATCTATCCCCTTTATCCATTCTCCAACTCTTCCTCCAAGTTAAGTTTATGCTAGTTTTAAGGGAACTGTTTTTTTATTCACTTAAAATTCATTCAAATTTATCTAGAAATCTCAACTTGATCCATGTGTGATACTCTAGAGCAAAGCATAATTTTTTATAGAGAAATAACAATTGAATTTCTTACATATAATCAATGATGTTGCCAACTTTGTGTTGATAAGCTCTACGGTGTAAAGAGTTGCGTATATGGAACATGTCATATAGATTCCCAATCTCCTGTAGGAAAACATGAAGTAAATGTTAATGTAGTATCTGATTATGTTATCCCTGTTAGTAGAGAAGTATATAATACAAGAAAAAGGGATGGTGGCAGACACGAAGGCTATGCCCAGGGACGACTGCATTACAATCCCTGAACCCACTAAAAAATAGCAATGTGGATGAGTAAAACTATTCATTGGTTTGCAACAACTTTCATTCTTAGTAAACCAAAATATATTGTGTATTTTAATTCTGTGGCAGGTTCCATTTTAGGTATCTTATATATATTTTTAAATTTTCCCAATAACTATAGAAATGAGGTATAATTATTCTTATATTCTTCATTCTCAAAAGAAAGACTTTTATAATACAATATTGCACTACTCTTAAGTCATACAACTCTAATCTAGCAGGGACCTAATGATTTAAGTATTTTATATGAAACACTAACATAGTAATTAAAGAATGAGACTTGAGCCAAATTTTCTGGGTTAAAATTCTAGTTCTGCCATTTATTAATTGTATGTCTTTTCTGTGCTTCAACTTACTCATCTATTAAGTGGGATAATAATAGTATCTATTTCATAGGGTTGTAAGGATTGAGTTAATACATCTAACAACTTAAAACATTGCCTAGCACAACACTCAATCAATGTCTATTGTAATTTTATTATTACTTAACACCACAGTACAAGTGAGAGCCTTAAGATATTTATAAATGCTCAGCATGAAGTAAAGAGACTGACAATTTGCCAGGTACTGATTTTTCCAAATTACTGAACGGCTATTTCTAGATTTCAAACTAAAAACTTTACCTTCCTTGTTGTTCCTCTGACATAGCTTACCTGATCTCTAGTACAAATATGCAGACTATTATCTACTTCACAGACACGGGCAAACTTAAGAAAGCGCTTATAATCAAAACTATTTTGAATTCCAAGATGATGGCAGTCCCTAGAAAGATTCCAAAGTAGAGAAAAATTTTCAACAAGGTTGCTGTACCTTAAATATTAATACTAAATTTATACAAGCATTTTTATTGTATTTGTTTGCTTAAATAAAAATTGTATATATTTAAAGTATACAAAGATTTTAACCAACTTTTCTGAAGTGTTCAGTGCATACCTGGCAAAATAATCCCATTTGTCCACATCAATGCCATTTCTTTTATTGGCCACTATCTCATAAAGGAAGCTTTTCTCTTTAGGACGGCCTATATATGGCCACTAGAAGACACGAAAATCCATTAAAAGTTTTAGGATAAGAACCAAATCTATTTACAAGCAAAGCAAAGCAACTGTATTAATATGAAAATTATAAACAGATACTTGAATGAGAATGTGAGAAAATTTAGAAGGTTCTTTCCATTTAATTCCTAAATTAGCAGAAAAGGGAAAAGAAATGCTAAGGTATATGATATCCGGTTAATACTAAACCTTTTTAGTATTTAGTGCCACTGAAAGGATCCTAACTCTATTACACTTCCCATTACCAACAAGTTCTGTTTCCTTGGTTTAAAAGTTTTTAAAAATATAAGATCTAATTACGAACTAATAAGAATGTTCCTTACATGCTCATGCTTAAATTCATACCTGAAAATAATACTAACTTTCAAAGTAGCTACACATCTACCCTAAATGATATGCACCACTCAAAGACTTTTTGGAGCTCCATTTTTTTGCAAATAGAATATTTGCTACAAAATTCACCTCTTTATTTCACAAGTAGATTGTGTGTGTGTGTGTGTGTGTATATATGTGCATGTGTGTGTACATATATATATATGGAAACTTAAAAACCTCAGAGGAAAATTATTTTTCAACTATTTAAATAAAAAGATCAAAACAGAAACAAAACAGATTTCCATTCAACTATTTTCTAGGTCTTCATATATCTAAATATTTGAAATATGTTAGTTTTAATGGATTAAAAAAAATACACTGATAAATTTTCCAAACAAAGTTACTTTAGGCCTCTATATAAAATACTGCATACATATTCATTATAAAATACTTACATATATGTATGTTAATTTATATGTATTTATGTTTTTTCCACCTCTTAACTCAGTCCCTCTAAAATAGCCAAGTGTTCCTCTTCCAATAGCTCAGAAGGAATCAAACGACTAGATGAAAAGCATGAGTCACTTCAAATTAAGTTGTACACAAACTTACTGATGATCCTTTGACTGGTGATTCACGTGGTCCTGTAATTTGTTCCTTGATAAAGCAAATATCTTCTTCAGGGATGAGGCCATAGCGCTCCATGACGGGTCTGAGATCGTTAGAATTAATGAGGTACTCAAACATGTCAACGGAGCCCTGTTCATGCTAGGAAAACACAACATATGGTCTGTTATAGACTCTAGTCCATAGGGACCCCAGATTATCCAGATTACTCTTGATTCCAAATAAATCAGAGATAAGATTCTACTGAGTTAATTATCTAGTTTCTAACTATAGTCTTGCAGATTTTTGTTGTTGTTGTTAATCCTCACCTGAATTTTCCGTTGATTTTTAGAGAGAGTGGAAGGGAGGGACGGAGGGAGGGGGAGAGAGCGAGAGAGAAAGAGAAACATTGATGAGAGAGAGTCACATCGATTGGTTGCCACCCGCATGCACCTAACCAGAGCCGGGGATTGAACCTGCAACCCAGATACAAGCCCTTGACCGGGAATCAAACCCACAACCCTTCAGTGCTTAGGCCAACCATATAACCGCTGAGCCACGCCAGTCAAGGCTTACAGATATTTTTTAAAAACCTAAAAATTTGTCACCCTAGCTGGTTTGTCTCAGTGGTTAGAGTGTTGGTCCACAGACTGAAGGGTCCCAGATTTGATTCTGGCCAAGGGCGTGAACCTCAGTTGCAGGCTGAATCCCTGGCCTTGGTCTGGGCGTGCCAGGGAGGCAACCAATCAGTGTGTCTTTTTCATAACAACATTTCTCTCTCCCCTCCCTCCCTCCCTCTCTAAAAATCAATGGGAAAAAATACCCTTGAGTGAGGACTAAAAAAAAGCCTCCCGGCCGGGCGTGGCTCAGCGGTTGAGCATCAACCTAGGATCTAGGAGATCGCGGTTCCATTCCCGGTCAGGGCACATGCCCAGGTTGCGGGCTGGATTCCCAGTTGGGGGCATGCAGTAGGCAGCTGATCAACGACTCTCTCTGATCGTTGATGTTTCTATTTCTCTCTCCCTTTCCCTTCCTCTCTCTGAAATNGTAGGCAGCTGATCAACGACTCTCTCTGATCGTTGATGTTTCTATTTCTCTCTCCCTTTCCCTTCCTCTCTCTGAAATCAATAAAGATACATATTTTTAAAAATATTTCTTTGACAATACACACACACAACTGTTTTAGGCTTCTATATAAAATACTGCATACATATCACAAAATATTTATATATGTATTTTAATTTATATATGCATTTATATTTTTTTCCACCTCTTAACTCAGTCCCTCTGAGATATTTGTTTTAGAGATCTGATATCAAGGTCTGGGTGGGAATTATCAATAAAGATATATATATTTTAAAGATATATATATTAAAAAAAAAGACTTACTGTAAAGTAATAATAATTAAGAAAGTATGGAACAGTATCCAGAAAGATTCATCATATATGAATTTACTAAATGTTGGGGCTGGTATTATAGATTAGTGGGGAAACACAAACTATTCAATAAACAATTATTCACAGTGAAAAATAGAAATTAGATTTTTACCATACACATGCACAAAAATAAATTCCACATGAGTTAAGAACTTAAATGTGAAAGGCAAAATATTTAAAGAAAAAGACTTGGGAATGGCTACATAGATCCTATTTAGATCATCCTTGCTATAGAAAACAACTATAAACTTTGGACAGCTCTCTGAGGACAGCTCTCTGAAGACACTGGACAGTGGCCAAAGGCAGGCAGATGTTAGAGGGAGTCAACACTTGGAAGAGAAAGCCATTGGGCAATATTCCAGTTTTTCTATGGCTTTTAGCCTGGGACAGGCCCCAAGGCAGCAAAACTGGAGAGACACTATCCATCTTACTGGACTGAAGAATGTGAGCACTTCATCAAAATTTTTAATTTGTCACAAGGTACCATTAAAAAACTGATTTGGCAAGTCAGAGACTGGAGAGAAAAAAATTCATTATATATCTTATAAAGAATTCCTCAAATCAATAAAAAAGGTAACTAATTATTTTAAATGGATACAACATTGAAACAACTCTTCACAAAATAAGATATATCAGCCCGGCTGGTGTGGCTCAGTGGCTGAGCATCGACCTAGGATCCAGAAGATTGCAGTTAGATTCCCGGTCAGGGCACATGCTCGGGTTGCGGGCTCGATCCCCAGTCGGGGGCGTGCAGGAGGCAGCTGATTAATGACGACTCTCTTATCATTGATGTTTCTTTCTCTCTCTCTCCCTCTCCCTTCCTCTCTCTGAAATCAATAAATTAAAAAAAAGAAAAAAAAGATGTATCAGTGACGAAGTACAAAGTACAGGAAATGATACTCAACATGTATCAGAGAATACAAGTTGAAATTGAACCACAAGATACCATTTCATACTCATTAGAAATGCTAATCTAAAAAAACCAGTGTCGGTGAGGCTGTGAAATAACAGGAACTCACATCATTACCGGTGGAGGGTAAAATGGTAAAACTGCACTGGAAGTTCCTTCCCTCCCTTTCTCTCTTTCTCTCTCTCTCTTTCTAAAATTTTATTTATTGATTTTAGAGAGAGGAAGGGAAAGAGAGAAACATCGACTTGTTGCTCCATTTATTCATGCATTCGTTGGTAGCTTCCTATACGTGCCCTGACCAGAGATTGAACCCAAACCTTGTATCAGGATGACGCTCCAGCCAAATGAACTACCCAGCCAGGTCTGGTAGCTTCGAACCCAAGACCCTTCAGTACGAGGGCCAAACTGGTTAGGGCAACATGAATATATTTCAAAATCACTGAGTGTATAAAGCAAGACACACAGAAAGTACCTACTATATAATTCTACTTTTATCAAATCCCCAAACTGGCAAAACGAATCTACATTTATAAAAATCAGGTGATGGTAGGGGGAGGCGTAGAAAATGACTGAAAGGGGGCACAAGGGAATTTTCCAGGAAGATGGAAATGTTCTTATCCTCACTTGAGTAGTGCTTACATGGATGCATACATTTGTCAAAATTCACTGAACCGTACACTTAAGATCTGTACAACTCATTGTTATACCTTTTAAAAAAAGGGAAAGAGAGAAAATAGTGGTTGGTGGTTGACACATAAGAAATATTCAGTACATATTAATAACCTTTTCTACTCCAGGATCCTAAGTACAGTGTGGCCAAAAATGGGAGCCAATCTAACTTTACTTCTCAAAACCAAGTTTACTTTTCAAAAACTGATCCCAAAAATATGGGTTAGCTGCCCACAAATCCCTAATTATAAAATGGTTCATTTAATATATCTGACGAGCCCTGGCTAGGTAGCTCAGTTAGTTAGAGCGTCATCCCAATATTCCAAGGTTGTGGGTTTGATCCCTGACCAGGGTATATACAAGAATCAACCAATGAATGTATAAATAGGTAGAACAACAAATTGGTCTTGGTCTCTTTCTCTCTCTCTCAATATATATATATATATTTGACTAAAGTTGGCGACAATCAGTTACTATGTGGTCATACAAAATGAGTCAAAACCAGAGTTGGCCTTTTATTTTTTTATTTTACAAGAGTATGGTGGAATAGAAAGAGCATTAAATTAGCATCTAGGAAACCTGATTTTCTACTGCTGGCTCTACCAGTTAACAGCTTTGTGATTTTTGGTGTATCAGTACACCTCTGTAAGTTTCAAGTTTCTTTACACTTGTAAAAATGGAGGTAATCATTTCTTCCTTACAGACTATGAGAATCAACTAAAAACATATATGAAAACATATACATATATGAAAGCACCCTGAAAACTGTAATGGGGAAGTATACTATAACACAGAAATGGCTGCTTAAATAGTCTTTATTTTGTTGATTACTGAATATGTGAATACATACCTTCCATTTCACATCTTGGCGAGCAAGTGGAATAAATCTTCCATCAAACATGTGAGAAAATGGCCCATGACCTTAAAAACAAAAGCAGCCTTAGAATAAGAAAAATGTAAAAACTGAGTTGATTTTTTAAATCTTTTTAGTTTTAATTTTAATATCAACAGAAATCAATAATCTATAAATACATCACAAAAAGGGATATATCCTTCCTTCCTATTTTCTAAAAACAAGAGAACAGGAAGTAGAAAGATATGGGAAAGTAAGCTCTTCATAGAGGGGTCTCTCAGTCACCAGAACTCACATAACTGGTGAAAAGATAGTTTTGTGTAACTTTAAAAAATTTTAATGACAAAAACTTTTGGCATCTGCAGGTTGAATATCTGTATTAAAATAGCAGTTTTAAGACAATCCACTGGGATGCAAAAATAAAATATTAGAACTTTATTACTCTCATCCTTTAAAAACATCTATTTTTATGTAAATTTTATAATGTACGCAATATTCTTAGAATAAATATACACATAAGGGAGCTGTTTCCTGGGGGTTTTTAACCAACGATGTGACCCACCAAAGTGAAAATCACGTTTATCTTAATCGTAAGTGATTTTAACATTTCACAACATTTAGTAATATGAAATTTGGTTGGAGCAAAACTCTGGAATTATCAGAATTTCTGTAGAAATTAATTACTCGGCTGGAGAGGGAGCCCACCTGGACCAGCCCCGGGCCTTTTTGCACATTGCAGTTTGTACATAAAGGCTTGTTACCGTAGTACTCAGACTGGGGACTGGGAAAGGTTTCCCAATGATTCCCTCTTAAAATACCAGGAATCTGTTATAGTTATCATCTGGGGGAGCATTAAAACTACTGAAATCTCCAGGAGGACATGCTGAAGATACCCCTTCAAGTATCTATTGAAACACAGACACCTCCCCTTTCCTGCCCTACGGGCACACACAAATTCTCAGGGCCCTCCAATAGGTAGGACTAAACTACAAGGACAGGGTCATACTCCTGTGATAAAAGAATACGGTCTCTTTTCTCTTTCTGTGTCAAAGGAAAAGGTTAATATTCTTTTACTCGGATTTAAGTGGCCCAAGACCTCAGATGGGTCAGGAAGCAGAAGGAGTTCTCTAAATCTGCTGTTAATCTGCTAGGGTAGATTATGTAGTCTAGGTATAAGAAAAATGGATCTGACAAAATAACTGAAGGTAAAATGGCCATTTTATTCAATAAGAAGGATAAAAGAAAAACCAAATTCACAACATCCTAAACAGAGTAGTCAGAAATACCTCACTATCACAAAGGCCTTTCTAATAACTTGTAGCAATGATGTTTAACACGGGAAATTCACTGAAAGGCCACAAAACAATGGAATAGCAACACCATGGCCTTATGGATCATTCCAGGAGGATGCGATGGCACATTTATACTAATGTTAACTGAAGAATTAAAACACAACTTTCTTACTTCTCTTGGTTAGTTGGATTTTTTAATTTCAAAGACAGGTAACATGTCATGGTTTTTCGTAACAGCCTTGGCTCTTTGGGTAGCTTACCGAGATCATGACAAAGCCCAGCAATCTGAACACAGAGCATGTCACGTTCACTTATCTGCAGCTCTGGTTGTTTTTCACTCAGTTCTCGGACTAGACATCCTGCTAGATATCCTACACTGTAGAACGAAAAAACAAAGCAAAACAAAACAAAAAGGTCTCTCTTTTGTTTGAAAGATATAAATGATACTTGGGTCCTGAAGAACTTTAATGTTTCTCAAATGTTATAATATATCTCTATGGCAACTTAACAGAATAGTGTGTGTTTGGGAACTTGGCAGGGACACACAAACAGAATTCCAAAACCAGGACCTCTCGGCTCAGCATCACTAATCATTAGGGAAATGCAAAATCAAAATCACAATGAAATAACGCCTCACACCAGTTAGGATGGCTATTATCCAAAAACAAAACAAGCAAACAAAAAATAATTAGTAACAAATGTTAACTTAGATGTGGGGAAACTGGAACCCTTGTACACTTTTAATGGAAATATATAATGGTGCAGCTGCTAGGGAAAGCAGTATGGTGGTTCCTCAAAAAATTAAAACTAGAGTTACCATATGATTCAGCAACTCCATTTCTGGGTATATACCCAAAACAACTGAAAGCAGGGTCTTTAAGATATGTTTGCACAGTCGTGTTCACAGCAGCACGATTCATAACAGCCAAAGAGGGAGAAACAACTGTGTCCACTGATGGATAAAGGGATAAACAAAATGTAGTGTATCATACAATGGAATAGAGTACATCTTAAAAAGTAAGAAAAGTCTGACATAGGCTCCAACACAGAGGAACCTTGAGGAAATTATACAAAGTGAAACAGCCAGTCACAAAAAGACAAACACTGTATGATATCACTTATATGTGGTACCTAGAGTGGTCCAATTCATAGAAACAGAAAATAGAATGGTGGTTGTCCAGGGCTGGGGAGAGAGGGGAATGGAGAATTTGGGGGGTATAGAGTCTCGGTTTTACAAGATGAAAAGGCTCTGGAGCTTGGTAGCACAATAATGTGGATATATTTAACACTACTGAACTGTGTACTTAAAAATGGTTAAGAAAGTAAATTTTACATTCTATGTATTTTACTACAATTTTTAAAAAAATAAGCAGGACTTCTGCTTTGTAATGCTTACAACACAGATTGAAGATAAAATGCCCAACAAATGTTATATGCACTTTAAGCACTTCCCCCTGAAAATAATTTCTGAATAAATACAGTAGCTTTCTTCTCTAAGCACTGAGCTCCATGAGGATAAAGACAACTGCTACCTTGTTGGTTTGGTAGGATCTAGTAAGTTTTCAATAAATATTTGTTGATGAATGAATGAACATTTGAGTAGATACATATGTTCTCTGAGCTTGTGAATGATTATCTGATTTACACATTTCCTGTTTTCAAAGGGCAATCTGCACACAACTAAACAGGGACTATAAGAAAATTAAATAATCAAACTCAGAAAGTTAATTATACCAGTAGCCAACCCTATTAGCTTTTAAAATAATATTTAAACACAAATATTTCAACCAAATGACCTCTCAATAGACACTTTCATTATTTTTCCAAGAAGGATCTGAGGTGGCTTATAAGAGTACATAAAATAGCCCTGGTGTGTGTGGCTCCATGGTTAGAGCGTCAGCCTGCGCACCCAAGGGTCGAGCGTTCAATTCCTGGTCAAGGGCTTGTACTTCAGTTTCAGGTACATTCCCCAGCCTGTTTGGGACATGTGCGAGCGGCAATCAATCAATGTGTCTCTCTCACATAGCTGTTTCTCTCTTTCTCTCTCTCCCCCCCTTCCACTCTCTCTCTCTAAAAAAAAAAAAAAATCAATGGAAAAAGTATCCTCAGGTGAGGATTAACAGCAACAACAAAAAGTACATAAAATAAATAAAATACAGCAAAGTAAATCAAAGCCTCAATTTTTTCATCAATAAAATAAGGATAGTATTATCATTTTTATAAAACTATCCTCTAAAAGATGAGACAATCATTTCATGAGACAGAAAAGGTACTTAATATGTAACTGTCAGCTCCCGAAACCAATCCCCTTCTTACCCTAGACTGTGTTCAAATCGATTGTGTGAAGCTCCTGGGAAAACATAGTAAGCGCCTCCCAACTGTTTAATATATCGAAGCCGTTGAAATTGAGGTGTGTCGATGATTCGGATAAGGAGAGGGTGAAATCCAATATGGCCATGGATAGGATCATTAATTACCTAGAAAATTATGTTTAAACTAACATAAGTAACAATACATAACTCTATCTAAAATTTTTATGCAGCCATGCCTATCACAGTGCAAAGTCAAAGCTGTTTAATTGTTCTCAAGACTAATAATAAGGGAAATGACAAGATACTAATATCATTATCTTATTTAGATATCACTACCAGACAGGTCAGTACATTAGATCAGGATATATTTTACTTCTTCTAATGGATTCTAACAACAGAAAGATAAGGATTTCAACCTTTTTATTACATATATTATTTAATTAGCCTTTAATAAGTTAGTTTTGGATTCAAGTTAAACATACTCATTTAACACATTCATTCAGATCACATAAGCCATATTACTACTGGCACTGTGTCTAAATTTTTTTCTGAATGTATCTATATAGTACCCATCACTAAAATCCTAAGAAAGAAAAGAGAAAAATGGAAAGAGAAAAGGAAAGAGAAAAGGAAAGAGAAATGAAATGGAAATGGAAATGGAAATGGAAATGGAAATGGAAATGGAAATGGAAATGGAAATGGAAAGGGAAGGGAAGGGAAGGGAAGGGAAGGGAAGGGAAGGGAAAAAAAAAGGAAAGAAAAGAAACCCTTCTACCATATGGGTAAGTAATCATAAAATTCTATAGTACTTATAATGTCACTCAGAAATACATATACTTAGTAAAGATAAATTCACAATTACTTATTACTGTAAACTTAAACAGGAGCTTTAAATATGGGTGAAGATTTAATGCTCGTCTTTGTTTCTTAATTTTTTCTTTCTTTTTTTTTAATCCTCACCTGAGGATATTTCTTCCATTGCTTTTCAGAAAAAGTAGAAGGAGGGGAGGAGAGAAAGAAAAACATCGATGCGAGAAAGACACATCAATTAGTTGCCTACCCCATGGGGCTGGGGATTGAGAGTGCAACCAAGGTACGTGCCCTTGGTCAGAATCGAACCCGGGACCCTTCAGTCAGCAGGCTGACGCTCTAACCACTGAGACACACCAGCTAGGGTCCTATGTTTCTTTAAAGACACATTTTTCTTAATTGTCCATAACTGACTTTTTAAGAGAAAGCTATAGAATAAAAAAGGAGCCTGATAAATGATCTAATCTGATTTTCAAACTGCTTCAAATTGAAGTTCCTTAAAAATATATGGAATTCTGGGAGGTGAAGAACCTTGTCTATCTTGTTGACTGCCATGTTCTCAGAACCCATCATGCTGTGTGTCTGGCACATCGGTTTTTCAATGACTACTGTTGAACCACTATTGCCAAGTAATGTATGTTAACATGCTTTACAGTTAAAGTGTACCACATCCATACACAGAAATATATAAAATATGAATTACAGCTCAACCAGCGTGGCTCAGTGGTTGAGCGAGGGCCTATGAACCAGGAGGTCACGGTTTGATTCCCAGTCAGGGCACATGCCTGGGATGTGGGCTCAATCCCCAGTAGGGGGCATGCAGGAGGCAGCTGATCAATGACTCTCATCATTGATGTTTCTGTTTCTCTCTCCCTCTTCCTTCCTCTCTCTGAAATCAATAAAAACATTAAAAAAAAAATTATAGAAGCTCAGTGCTGTAAATAAGCTTAAAGGGGTCATCTGAGCCAACATTTGAACATGCTGGCTATGAGTTTAAAAACAACTCAATTCAAATTGGGTACCAACAGTCTGAGTCAAGTAATGACTACAATTTACAACTTTGTTCAACAATATGTTTGTACATTAATAAAGATTTGATTTATGCTTGATATTTGACGAATATGAATTTTTTCACCCTGCTCTATAAAACCGCTTTATAATTATTATAAAAGATATTGATTTTAGTCACCTCTAATAATACACCAAAAATGATATCAAAATATCAGAGTAGAAGGACCCATAAATGTCATAATTCAACCATGTGACTATCCCTACAGAAAAGAACAAGTTCCAAAATCTTAAAACACATGAAAATCATAAAGAGCCGGTCATTGAATAACATCATTTCAATAAACATTTTTTCCTTATAATGTTGATAAGGGGGGAAAAAAGGTTCCTGGCCAAGGCCACTGTCTGTGTAGAGTATGCATGGTCTCCCCACGTCTGCATGGGTCTTCTCTAGGTGCTCCAGTTTCCTCTCACACCCCAGAGACGTGTACATGAGGTTCAATGGCATGTCTACATGTCTGAGTGAGTGTGGATGTGCATGTGAGTGTACGCTGTGATGGAAGGGCATACCATCCAGGGTTGGTTCCCACCTTGCACCCTGAGCTGCCAGGACAGGGTCCAGCCACATGAAATCCTGAACTGGAATAAGCATGTTGTAAAATCATTCTCTTACTTGTTTTTATTAATTTTTCTTAAATGTATAGCTGTATCTCAGAAGGAAGAGGGAAGGGGCATGGGGGTGGGGGATGGGAAGAGATTAACCAAAGAAGTTATATGCATGTATGCATAAGCCATGGACACAGACAATAATGGGGTGAAGGCCTGGGGAGGGGGTGGAAACGAGGTGGAGGGAGTCAATGGGGGGAAAAATGGGACACCTGTAATACTTTCAACAGTAAAGATTAAAAAAAAAATTTAAAAACTTTTGTGCTCCAAAAAATACTACTAAGAAAGTAAAAAAGCCCAGCTGGGCATGGCTCAGCTGTTGAGCATTGGCCTAGGATCCAGCAGATGGTGGTTCGATTCCTGGTCAGGGTACATGCCCAGGTTATGGGCTAGATCCCCAATTGGGACGTGCAGGAAGTATCCGATCAATGACAATGCTCTCATCATTGATGTTTCAACTCTGTCTCTCCTTCTCCCTTCCTCTCCATTTGAAATCAATAAAGATATATTAAAATAAATAAATTTTTTAAAAAAAGAAAGTAAAAAGGAAAATCCAGAGAATGGGAGAAAAATTTGCATACCATGTATCTGATATATACATCCAGATTGTATAAAGAACTTATATCCAGAATATATAAAGAACTCTTATAATTTAAATTATATTATATTATATTATAATGATGACTGAACAACCTTGTGGACCTTTTAAAAAACATTTAAACAAGTGAATTTTAAGTTATGTGAATTGTATCACATTAAAACTGTTAAAAAAAAGAAAGAAAAAGAATAGCCCTGGCTGGTGTGGCTCAGTGGGTTGGGAGTCTTCCTGTACACTGAAAGGTTGCTGGTTCGATTCCGGTCAGGGTACACACCCAGGTTGTGAGTTCGATCCCCAGTCGGGGTGCATGCAGGAGGCAACCCATTGGTGTTTCTCTTGAATCAATGTTTCTCTTTCTCTCTTTCTCTCTCTCTCTCCCCCCCCCCATCTCTAAAGTTAATAAAATAAAATAAAAGTTATTCTGTGGTTGAGGGTGGTAACTTAGACTATTTGTGTTGATGTGGATGATTCTCAGAAATATAATGTTAGCCCTGGGCAGTGTGGATGAGTTGGTTGGAGCATCATCCTGTGCACCAAAGGGTAGCAGGTTCAATTCCGTCAGAGCACATACCGAGGTTTCGGAGACAACCAACTGATGTTTTTTTCTCCCTATTCCCCCACCCCGCTCTCCTCTCCCCTGTTCTCTCCCCTCCTCTCTGTCTAAAACCAATAAACAATATATCCTCAGATGAATATAATGTTAAATGAAAGTTTAGAAGGATACTTACAGTGAAATATGATTTATATAAAATTAAAAAATGTAAAACTACATTATTTATGGCTATACACAAATATGTAGTAAAAGTACAAAACATTCAAGAAACTTATTATTTTTAATCCTTATCCAAGGACACCCAAGGACATGCTTATTGATTTTAGAGAAGAGGGGAAGGGAGAAAGAAAGAGAGAAACATCAATAGGTTGCCTCCACAGGCACCCAACTGGGGTTCAAACCCACGGCCTGGGTATGTAACCTGACCGGAAAACGAACACTCAGCCTTTTGGGGTATGGGACTTTGCTCCAACCAACTGAGCCATACCAGCCAGGGCCATTCATGAAAATTATTAAACACCAATTCAGGATGGTGACTCCTTTTGAGGAAGAAAAGATGGAAACAGAATCCAGGAAGAGTACAAAGGAACTCTTCCATTCTAATATTTTGCTCTAAAAACAACAGATTTGCAGCAAACTGGGCAAAATGTTAAGATTTGATAGGCTGGGTAGTGGTCTATTTGTGCTTTTCTGTGTGCTTAAATATTTCAGTTTTCCTTTGATTTAAATATTCTGTACTTATTTTAGAAATGCAGAAAGTTTAGAAAAGTCAAAATCCATTAGTCACAATCCTATTACTGAGAAGCAGATTTCCTTCTATTCTTTTTAAAATGAATCTAGATAACTGAGTTATCTCACTTTATAGTAAAAAAAACATAATAAACTTAGATTCCTCTTACCTTCACTCTATCACCATGAGTTTGAATCAGTCCGATAGAATTAAGCAGCTTCTTTCTCTCCCACAGGGGACTAAAATTATAATAGGATAAGTAGATCTATCATTATTTGCTTAATAATAATCGATAAGAGTATATAATAGTATATAATCAACTCTAGATTATATACACTAGAAAGAGATGTCAGATTAAAAGGATTAATAATTCAAATTTACTCCTTCTAGAAACTCCCTCCTTCCTTTGCTTCTGTTATCGAGTATTAAGCAACAAGTAAAAGAAGCAATTCAGGATAATCCCTTGTTTCAATTCTTTCGTTATTGTTACTACAAACAACATTTAACTAAGTAGAATTCATGAAGAAAAGACTATATTTCACCACTGTTGTCAATTCTTTTAAAGACGCAATCTCCATTTTAAGGAATATTTAAATATTGCCTCAACTGAGTTTTTTGATATTTTTATTTATTGATTTTTAGAGAGAGAGAGAGAGAAACATCAATTTGTTGTTCCACTTATTTATGCATTCATTGGTTAATGGTTGATTCTTGTATGTGCCCTGACCAGAGATCAAACCCACATCCTTGGCATATGGGGATGACGCTCTAACAAACTGAGCTACCTGGACAGGGCCTCAACTGAGGTATTTAAAAAGGATACCCGTACTAATCTAGACCTTAGAACCTCCAGCCATACATAAGGATCTATATACATAATAAACATATATATCACTTATCAAGGGCTTATCATATGCTAATCACTTAAATATGTTGCCTTATTATTATTCATTTCACAGGTGCAGAAACTGAAGGTTAAATAACTTGTCCCAAATCAGACAACTAAAAAGTGCCAAACTACTTTGTCTCTCTAAATCTAATAGCAGGGATACCTTGCAGTCTTAAGATAGCTTTAAGAAGACCTAAAAATATGATCAAGATAGGATTCTAGCCTTAATTTTTCTTGCCAACATTTTTGCTCCTATCAATTTTTACCTATATTCTGGTGTGTATAATTCAATTATCCTGAAATTGAGAGTAAAAAGTTGGTCACCATCAACTTCACGGAGGTTCGTCAGCAAAATTTTAAAAAACGGGAATCATTAATAATATGAAACATAGAATTTACACAGGAAATACAAACAAAAACATCTGTGTTAACCAACAGGCAGTGGATTGTTTTAAAACACCTTCTAGATTTAAAATGTTAATACCAGCAATATTGAGCTTTGTCCCTCAAAGTTAAATAAAAAGGTCACAAGCGTGGTTGGTTACAGTGTGAATTTTATCATTCTTACCTTATTCCCAGGTTATCAAGATGAGACTCATCAAGATAGAGCAGTAATGAACCTGTGATATTCTTTTCTATGGAGGAAAAGGTAAAAAAGAAATGAATGGTTTCAGTACTTACAACATATGATTTTCGATTTCTTTCAATTTGGATCCCCCAGAATTTACTCAGATAAACATATATTGAGTGCACCCATTACAGGCAAAGGACTGTGTCAAATACCACTTTTCTGATTTGCCACTGGGAAGGTCTTAATTTTAATTATCATAAAAAATTATTCAATGTAAGAAATCCAAACAATAAAAAAATATAAAGCATAAAATATCAAAACTTATTTTTTAAAAAAAGATATATATTTATTGATTTCACAGAGAGAAAGGGAGAGGGAGAGAGAGAGACAGAAACATCAATGATGAAAGAGTCATTGATCCACTGCCTCTTGCAAGCCCCTCACTGGGGATGGAGTCCATAACCCGCGCATATGCCCTGACTGGGAATCGAACCACGACCTCCTGGGTCATAGGTCGATGCTCAACCACTGAGCCACACTCAGCCGGGCTCAAAACTTACTTAAATTCTCCTTATAACCACTGTTAACATTGTGGGTATCATTCATGAGATTTATCTACGCAATTATGTAGTTTTACGCAGTTATGTTGTTAATAATCTATTTTTCCCCACTCTACTGACAATTTCATGAACTTTATTGTATTACCCATTTCTCCTATTATGAATCTTTTAAAAAATATTTGTGTTGGAGACAACAATATGGTGGCACAGGTAAACGAAGTACCTGCCGCGTCCCATAACCACATCAAAATTACAATTAAAATACAGAATCACCATCATTCAGGACCTCCTGAATTCTAGCAGAACGGAAGTCCTACAACTAGGGAATTGAAGAAGCACTGAGACCGGTAGGAAGGGCGGAGACTCAGGGCAGAATCTGTGCCCAATCGCGGCAGACTGGGCTGAGACACCACACCCAGATGCCACTTTTTAAAACCAGGAGGGCTATCTCAGCGGTGGAGGTTTCCCAGAGGAGCAAGGTGTCCCAGCCCCACATCAGGCCTCCTAGCCCAGGATTCCAGGGCAGGGAAGAGAAGTCCCCACAATTTCAGGCTATAAAAACCAATGGGGATTGTGGCTGCATAATGTGGAAGCTGCAGGAGTCCCAGGTAGCTCCTCTAAAAGGGCTCCTGGGTGGCACATGTACTTACTCAGACGTGCTCCCTCTGAGCTCCAGTGCTGGGCAGCAGCTTGAAAGGAAACTGGGACATTCGGGGAGGAACTAACTTGCCTGGAATCAGGGCCAGAGCTGGAGGGTAAGCTTTCTCACAGACAGAAGAGCTGGCAGAGGCCACTGCTCCTTTGATGAGCCCTCCCCACACAGAGCCAGCAGGCAGGCGCCATATTTGAATCTCCATAAACCTCACTCACACCTTTCACCCTGCCCTGGTGATTTATGGAGACCCCACCCCTCCCTAATTTCAAGCTCATCCAAGCCATTTCCAGTGGCTTCTCTATGCAAGTGGCCTCTCTAGCCTCACGCTTGGGGCTTTCCTAAAATCTCTCAAACAAGCAGCAGCTGACCTCAGCGTGACCCATAGGACTTTATAAGTGGCCCCAGGCCTGGCACTAGCAGCAGTCTACATTGGTTCATAGGTTGGCCTCTCCTGGACACCTCCAAGCCCAGCACAAGTAGCAGCCTCCTATGGACTGCTGTGTAACTCATGCTGGGTGGCCCTGGGCAGGGCACAGGCAGAGGCTGGCTTTGCATATCCCAGGAGGCCCCAGAGACAGTGTACCTGGTGGTCAGCTTCGACCACGCTAGATTATAACCCTACCACATCCACGAGTGACACACTCAAGGGGTGCACTCGGTGAACACCAAAGCTCCACTGAAGTAAATCCTGCTCCATAGGGGTGTCTCCAGCACAGCAGCTTCTGAGCTGTAGTTGCAAGTGGTCCTCACAGCTGATTGGCCTGAGGGTCAATTCTTCCCAGGGATGCCAACAGCAATCAAGGCTCAACTACAACAGGAGACAGCACACAGCCCACACAGGGGAGCACCTTTAAGGCCCAGCTCAGGTGACTGGGGAGGCTGAACCACTGGACCCTATACGGCACCTACTACACAAAGCCACTTTACAAATTCCAGGAGACATAGCAGCTCTACCTAATACATAGAAATAAACACTTGGGAGTAGCCAAAATGTGGAGGCAAAGAAACATGTCACAAATGAAAGAACAGAAGAACTCTCCAGAAAAAGAACTAAATGAAATGGAGCCAAGCAAGCTACTAGATACAGAGTTCAGAATAATGGTTATAAGGATGCTCAAGGATCTTAGTAAGACTACTAAGGAAACTAGTGAGATAATCAATAACATAATAACCAGTCAGAAAGGAAGGCTACACTAACTGAAAGGAAGAATAATTTACAGGGAATCAAGAGTAGAGTAGGGGATGCCATGAATCAAATCAGCAATTTGGAACATGAGGAAACAAAAAACACCCAATCGGAAGAGCAAAAAGAAAAAAGAATCCAGAAATATGAAGATAGTGTAAGGAATCTCTGGGACAACTTCAAGCAGTTCAACATCTGTATTATGGGGGTGCCAGAAGGAGATGAAAAAGAGCAAGAAATTGAAAACCTATTTGAAAAAATAATGACAGAAAACTTCCCCTACCTGATGAAAGAAATAGACTTACAAGTCCAGGAAGCACAGAGGGTCCCAAACAAGAGGAACCCAAAGAGGCCCACAGCAAGACACATCATAATTAAAACGCCAAAGGTTAAAGACAGAGAATCTTAAAAGCAGCAAGAGAAAAGCAGTTAGTTACCTACAAGGGAGCACCCATAAGACTGTCAGCTGATTGTTCAACAGAAACTTTGCAGGCCAGAAGGGATTGCAAGAAATATTCAAAGTGATGAAAAGCAAGAACCTACAACCAAGATTACTCTACCCAGCAAAAATATCATTTAGAACTGAAGGTCAGATAAAGAGCTTCACAGATTAAAAAAAAAGCTAAAGGAGTTCACCACCACCAAACCAGTACTACATGAAATGCTGAAGGGTCTTCTTCAAGAAGAAGCTAAGCCCAGCCGGGCATGGCTCAGTGGCTGAACATCGATCTAAGATCCAGGAGATCGAAGTTCAATTCCCGTTCAAAGCACATGCAGGGTTGCACGCCCAATCCCTAGTAGGGGGCGTGCAGGAGGCAGCAGATCAATGATGACCCTCATCATTGATGTTTCTCTCTCTCCCTCTCCCTTCCTTTCTCTGAAATCAATAAAGATATATATATATATATATATATATTTTTTTTAAAAAGAGCCCAGCTGGGCATGGCTCAGCAGCTGAGCATCAACCTAGGATCCAGGAGATCGGGGTTCGATTCCCGGTCAGGGCACATGCCCGAGTTGCGGGCTGCAGCCTATCAATGACTCTCATCATTGATGTTTCTATCTCTCTCTTTCCTCTCTCTGAAATCAATAAAGCTAATGAACATAAGAAACTGACAAACAAAACAGACCCAAAGACATTGAAGCATACAATAGACTGTCGTATCTCAGAGGGAAGAGGGAAAGGGGGTGGGGAGTGGGAAGAGATTAATGAAAGAAGTTACATGCATGTATGCATAACCCATGGACACAGACAACAATGGGGTGAAGGCCTGGGGAGGAGGTAGAAGTGAAGTGGAGGGGGTCAATGGGGGGAAAAATGGGACACCTGTAATACTTTCAACAACAAAGATAAATTAAAAATATATATATATTTGTACTGATTTTTAGAGAGAAAGGAAGGGAGAGGGAGAAAGAGAAACATCAATATGAGAGAACCATGGATTGGAAGCCTCCTGCAACACCCCCTACTGGAGATCCAGCCTGCAACCTGAATATGTGCCCTGACTAGAAATCAAACCAGTAACCCTTCTGTGCAAGGGACAATGCCCAACCCACTGAGCCACACCAGCCAGGTCACCTATTATCAATCTTTAAACATTTCCCAAACTAAATTAAAAATAAATTAGTATTTTTTACATTACTGTTGAGATGATGTCTTTTTCTGTTTACTGGCTGGTTGTCCATTGTCTGTTCCTGTGTTTTGCTCATTTTTCCATTTTTTCCCCTTGCTCTTAGTTGATTTTATAACTTTGAGTATGCTCTCCTTTTTTTTTTTTTTCTTTAAATTGGTTTGTTTGTTCCCTCACTGTTGAGGGAAATCCAATGGTTTTGACAAGAACACTTATTAAGGTATAGCTGGCATGAATTCTGGAGTCCGAAACCTTAAAATCCAGCTCTGCCTTTGTCTAGCTGTGTGACCTGTGGAAAGTTAGTTAACACTGTTGGACCTCAAACATACCACCTGTAAAAAAAAGCGGATTATAACCCCTAAATTTCAGGGTTCCTGTGAGACTGTATTCCTTCCTGAGGAAAGGGACCCAGCACCGTGTGCTTAGTTTTCTCATATAAAAACAAATCTGGATTTAGAAAGACTACTTCAGTAGTGAGAACATTCCAATCTCAGAAATATGTAAGTGGCTCAAAATCAAACAGAAAAAGGTTTGTGCTTCTTATAGACTAAAGGAGGGGCAAGTGGAGATAAGCAGAATCTCTGCAAGTTTAAGAGACTCCAGTGGGGTCTGACAGGGCAGTGTCCTGCTGTGGTCAGCTGGTTTCCCAGAGAAGCTGACTCAGGGGGCACATTTCACTTTTTTAGTGTTTGCTCAGTTCTGGAAGCAAGGGAGAGAGAGAGCCCAGGAGCGTGAAGGAGAAAGAGAAGCCTGACTAAAGTTTGGTCAAGACAAAGCAGAACGTAAGAAATGAGCTACTGTGAACACCTGATCAGTGTTTACCAATTAAGAGCATGCAGTGTCTCTTACTGGCATTAGACTGTGGGCTCAAAAGAACAGGTCATTTTGAAAGCTGAAGAATTAATCTACAGAATACCCTTGAAACAGACACCAACACAGCCAATAGCATTTTGGAGACAGAAAACATAAAACTCCTTCATTCCCACTTGTTGCTATTCAAAGAAAAATTCCAATCCCAGCAGTGTAGGAAAACAAACGGCGGGAAAGGGAAAAACAGAAGTGCGATTTCTATACCCATCAAGTTATCTTTAGGTTGAACCACTTAAGTCCCTCCCACCCTAGTCCCCCAGCCTCGGCAGAGGGAAGCACCGACGGCAGCAAACGCTTAGGGAGTGTGCAAATCGCACCGCCCCCCTAGCCCACGCCGCCGAGGGGAAAGCCGGACAAATCAAGCCTCACACCATTAGGGGAAGTTGAGTAGGTTTCAAGCGCGAGGATGCCTGAACGTGAGCCGGTAACGCCGCCTGAAACTCACAACCTGCACAGCTCCCCACGCGACGTGGCCGAGGCGCGGGCCCGGGAGTCGGTGGGACGGCACCAGCCCGAGGAGCAGCCTCAGCGCGAGGAAGGCGAGCGAGGCGAGCGCCACCAAGCTCGGCCAGCCGGGTCGACAAACAGGGCTGCAGCCCAAACCCGGGATGCTACGGCTGGTGACCGGAGCTGTGATCAATCCACGTTCCCTCCCCTTTTGGAGACGCCCACGTTTCGGGGAATTGGGTGTGTGTGTGTGAAGGAAACAGAAACCTAAAAACACCCAAAAGAACTCGAACGGGGAAAGTGCTCAAGGAGCTGCGGCGGCAGAGGGGTCTCCCGAGCCTGGTGGCTGAGTGACAGCCATCCTCTCACCAAGGGTGGGGGAAAGGGGCTTCTGACTAAAACGGGGACCCCAGTCTCGCCCGCCGGGCGCTGGGGTGGCAGGTTCCTGAAGAAACCCAACAGACTTAGACCGACTGCCCCGCCCAGGTTCACATCCCCCAAAGTTAGCTTTCTTCCCCACGGGACCCCCGCCCCTGACGCCGCGTTTCTCCTTCCACCAGCTCAGGGCTTCACGCCGGGGCGCCCCCCGCCTCAGGGCCCCTTCTCAGAAGGGCTCCCGNCCCGCCCCGGGTCACCCGCCCCGCGCGCCCCCCGCCTCAGGTCCGCGGGTTCTCGCGCCTCCCCAGTCGTGTCTCCCTTCTCCGCTTTGGGTCCTCTTCGAGGCCCCCTGCTCACTGCCCGAGGGCGCCCTCCCTCAGGCCTGCTGTCCCCGCCTCGGGTCGCCGTCCCTCGGGCCCCC